TTTTATTTTTCCAGGTGAAAAACCAGTCTGCTGAGCATGAGACAGGAAAGGATTTTGAATTTCTGCCCATTACATTTTAAATGTGCTGCAGTCCCTTAGCAGGTGGCTGGTTTCACAGGGGATGGGGTTTTCAGGGAAGAATTTGAAAACATACAGCCTGGTGCACCGAGGAAGTCTGGAGACAGCAGGGAAAAGAGTGGGAGACACAAACAGAAGGAGAAGTAGAGGCCCAGTAGCTACAAGATGCAGAACAGGGGCAACAGGAGGTGGTAAGAAATGAAATAAGCAGGCTTTAAACACAAGGCATACAAGGGCCGCTAGAACTTAAAAATAAGGCAAGAGTAACCAGTGTGATGGCTCTGCTACAGTTACAGCATGGGGAGATGTTTCTCTTCCGAGGCATGTGAAAATAAGCAAATGATAAAATACTCTCAGTACCATGCTGCTCAGTACAGTGCAATTAGATACCTGCCAAATCCCTCTCTGCCAGTGCATTTCTACCCCGCCAAGCATTTTTACATATAACTGCATATATTGTATGCCTATACAACACCTAGCACTCGATCGAAGCCTCTAGGTGTTATCACATTACCAGTGATAGGCAATAACAGCAGGCAATGTCTGAGAAGCTGTTGTTTCACTGGCAATGAGAACCGTGGTATAGATGTCACAAGCTCAGCTTTATTTTGTGGACACACAGATTTTGAGTTATTTACAATAAAATCTTAGAGGCATACTAGAGACACTGGTGGCAAGCTAGATGAGACGTAGCTATGAATTGAAATCTGTTTAAACATTTCGGTCACCAGTCAGCATGAATCAATAGAGTGGCTTGGCATCAGAGAGACTCCTGCATGGTTAAAATAAACTAAAATCTTACCTCTTGCAAATTAAGAGATTATAAAGGGTCAGATTTTAAAGGTGTTTAAGTGTATAACTGAGTGTTCAGTGCCTAAATACCTTTAACAGTCTGCCTCTCTACAGTAAGTGGATCAGATGAAGCTCTACAGCCCCACTAGTAGTTTACCTCTTTTCTATCTTTTTTAATTTTCTATTAAATAAGACATTGGCTATATTTACCATCTGTTTATGCTTCACTCTGTCTTCAGAACCCATTCAGGACTTAGGCCTCTATTGTGCTTGATGCTGCCCAGACTTAAGTGCCGGCTCTACAGATCTTACAATATAAGGAACAGGTAGATTCAACAAACAGCATGGGGAAGCTCAAGGTAATAGGGTAACTGTTACAATAAATGATGAACAGTGGTCTATGCAGTGCTCATTTGGGACAACTCTCCAATGAAAACTGTCTTTCTTCGGAACCCCCTCTATCATATTTTATAATCTCTAATCAAATCTATAGCAGATTTTTTTCTATCCTATCATAGCTTATATTTATATTTATATTTATATTTAAAGAGAGAGAATTTTATCTTTTTTTCCACCAACTGTATAGTTGGGAGGGACTTGGACAAGCTTTCAGGTACCCTTGTACCCATCCTCAGGACTCAGGAGTTGACCATCCATATGCTCTTTAACACAAGCAAAACTTTAATCATCTACAGAGTGGTAGCATGGAAGAGCTGCAGTCATAGATGTTGTAGTTGCTGTACAAACACAGAAAGAGACAGATGGCTCTCCTTCCCCAGGACACCTATATATTTAGTTTAATAAAAGATATTACCCACAAAAATCCATGCCTCTTGCATATGGACCATCATGGCTACAATATCACAGCACAGTATCGCTTATATTTAAACTAATTTAAATTAATGTCAGCCACAATATGTCTGCAAGCCCATATTTCAGACTCTTATTCTCCAGACTTCTACCTCAAAGAATTATGAGGAAAAAATTGCACATATCTACAGTCTCCAAAATTACAAGGAGCTCATACAAATGCTAAGAGCTCACCATCCATTCCTTGTGTTCTGTTTCCTCTATGCAGGGATCACAGCGTAAGCAATAGCAGCACAGGAAGCAAGCACTTCACCCTGAAGCTTCCAAGAAGAGCTAGCTCAGGGGTGGGCAAAATGCAGCTCGCAGGCTGGATGCGGCCCGCCAGGCCATTCTTTCCAGCCTGCGGGGCCCCTAAAAAATTTAGAAAATTAATATTTATCTGTCCCTGGCTCCTGTCATGTGGCCCTCAATGGCTTGCCAAAACTCAGTAAGCAGACCTCTGCCTAAAATAATTGCCCGCCCCTGAGCTAGCTAGTTTATCAGTCCCAATCTCCTTCCCCATCCTGTACCAGAACTGACCTGCAGCACCTCTACCAGTCCATCATTTGCAAAGAATGTGGCATCTTTGTGACATGAACTAATGGCTTATAATTATCCTTATTTTATGCAACAGAATTTTAATCTAGGACTCTGGATATGAAAGGCTAGTGAATTAACTCACTGAATTGCTTTGTATGTGGCTTAGTTCTAAATGTCAACCTGGACTTAAGCCAGTAAAATGAAGATGGAGGAGCAGTGTGAGTTAAGATATCTCTGGCTTTTGTAAATTTTGTGCAATATAGTGTGGGAGGGAGAATCAACTGTATTTAAGCACATATTTTTCTCCCAGAAACTATGGCTGTTATATCACCCCAATTTTTAACCTCTGCAATCTAACCTACCAATAAAAATATATTTCTCTGGTGTTTTCCCTA